AATTAATCGAAAAACATTACGGAAAAAAATCTATTATATCAGCGGGGAGGACAAAACTATAACAACGCGTTTTCCACGGTAGACACCGAATAATACGTATAACAGTTTTAGAAAACGATATTAATTATCGTGTGCATAGATTCTCTGGGATTAAAAAAAAAAACTATTTACAAGTTAAAAACTGACTCTTCGGCAATATTTATACAGTAACTATTCAATAATTGTTTTCATAAACGTTAGTTTTATTATGTATATTGACGTCGCCACTTCGTATTTGTCGAAACTCAGTGAACTCGGTCACTCGACGCCGGCAACGGTATTATATTATTAAGTATATAGCGACATAAAAACCGAGCTACGAGATGTGTGGCAGTGGCAGACGATTTATCCGTTCCGCCACCTACAAAAATAGGTAAGTCAACCCAAGGTAATAAAAGCATAATATGGCTAATTATACATAATGATAACGCACGCGGTCGCCCGGAGACGACGATGACAGACGGATAATCGTGCGAGAGCAGTAGAAGACGTAATAATAATAATCATATCATTAGGTGTGCTTCAATTTAGCGGTACGTTTTGTTATATAATAATAGTATAATACAAAATATTATAAATATTAGCCGTAGCTGATATAGAATGGGTACTAAAAACAACCGCTGACGGTTTTTTTTTTTTTATAAAAGGTTATACATATATCGATGAATTGTATACACGACGACGATGGTTTTTACTTTTGAAACTAACCAGTAACCGATGTATGGTAATCGTAACCGCGAGAACAGGATACTTTGAGACAGGTGAGACTAATATTATATTATGTATTTAGTGTTGGATTTAAGGATAATATACTTAATTATTATTATTATATTGTAATATTAATTATTATACACTACAATGTTTCATACGTGTAGTAAGTATCTACAAACTGCATGCAATGCCGTAAATACAAAATAATATTTATAAAATATAATATAGGTACTTAACCTAACCTATGGGCTATGACCTTTAAACTTTTTAGTGGCTGTCACTAAATTTTTTTTAAAATTATAGTTACTGAGTTGGTTAGTTTTCTAATTAACTTAAGAACTTATAAGTCTTTACTAGTTTAAATTACTGTTTAAACAACTTAGCTTTTTTCAGTTAATTTAAAAATAATCTATCAAGTTAAAATTAAAAATATTTTTGACATTAATTATATACTGTAAAGAAGGTTTAAATAAAATAATCTTATATTATAATGATAATAAGTAACAATATTATGTAATAGTATAATTTCTGTTATGTTTCTTGATAAAATAATAAGGTATATATAGAAACAAAATACTGTTGAAGTGGCCCATGTACTAATTAAGAAAGTAGATTGGATCACTTGATGTAATTTATAAATTGAGTTAAGTTAGTATTATTTTTCATATTAAATTTAAACTTAGAGAGTTAAATGTATTAATTGTTAATGATTAACTTGAACAAGTTGAAAATATTATGTTTACTTATCTAAAACTGCCTATTTTAGTCAATTATTTTCATTAATTTGCCCACTTTTGAGTATAATTTATGATACATTATAGGCATGGCAAATAATATTTTAATCAACCAGTTTTATTATTCTATTATGTTTCAAGGATTTTTTTTCGGTCAACACCTTTCAAAATAAACCCTTAAATACTCCTCAGGCTCAGATATGAACTTTGGGGTCATACTACTGACACCAGACTCATATAAGTTGGGAACAAGGACTTATAATACAGTGTATAAAGACATGGTCATTATACAAGCTAATACTAATATGTAATGTATAGAACTGTATGTGTATGAGAACGTTTGTATAATAATAATATTAGTATGAACTATTGCTAAAATTGTACAAGTAGGTAAGATAAGTATTACCTGACCGCTGACCACTTGACTCTTTCTGCCCAGTGGCAGACCTGGACATTTCATCTGGGTGGGCAATCAAGCGTAATTTTAAATTTTTACCCCAACTAAAATTGTGTTAAACATTAATTATATATTTGTTAGCTGTTGACGGAGGAGAATCGCCCCCCCTCCCCTTGGCTACGATCGTGTACCTACCTGATTGTCCACATGCTGAGTCCACCGTATGATTATTTCGATAATTTGTTCGCATCATAGGTAGGTACAGCAAAAAAAATCGACCAACAAGCGGTTGAAAAATCACGAAAGTGATTGAATCGAAATCAGGGATGGAGAGAAAAATTCAATCATCGGTTCGAATGACATAATTTTTAGTGGTTTGTGAACTACCTTCCAAAAAATATTGGTACATCATTTATAGGCATATGATATTTTAAAATAATGTAAAATGAGTTTTTTACAGACGGCTTATCTCAGAAATAGACCGATTTTGACAAAAGTTATATCAATACAGTCAAGACTCGGAGGGTGTTTTTAAATTATATTTTCAACAACTATGGCTCACCCACGAATTTCGTTATAGCTAATGAAAATCGAATAATTTTTTGTTTATTATTATTAAAGTCTCCATAGGTAACAGAAATTAATTTAAAAAAAAAATATTTAGGATAACCAATCTGAGAACTTTTTTCAAATAAAAAAAATAATATTAAATAAAAGCTTATAAGCGTATTAAAACCTGCTCCACCGATTTTACGAAAGTAGGAAAATGTAGAAAATATATTATATTTACAGGTGGATTGCCCATATCAGTTGAGATGGTCCTCAAAGATGATTAAAAATACCTACACGAGCCTTGAGGGTATAACTAAATATAACTAAATATTTGAAAACATACAATAGTAACTCATAGATACTTACCGACTGTCTGACTATGGTGTATTTTTTATATTAAGAATACCTACACACAAAATATGCTATAAACATATTTTAGTACAGTTACTAACTTATGATTTGTGTTTATAATATATAGGTACTAAATAAAAGTAAATACCACAAACCGAACTTAAATACGTATGACAAAAGATAATTTTCATATCACATTCCACAGCATATCTAACTACTACAAATAATAAACACTGCAAATATCTAAATAATATTGCCGGTTTAGTTCTGTCAACAATAATAATAATAAACCCGAGATAGGCTCATCAACTTTTTCCAATAGAGGTATAAATAAAAATATTACACTTAGGTACATAACATTAAAAAGTTTGAGTAAATTAATTAAATTGAAATTTGTTGTACCATCCTTGTTTAAAGGATATGACAGTTAACTGACAATAATAATAAAAAAAAATGTTATTTGAATTAAATACACTTCAAAATGTATATTAATACATTATACCGTCGTTTTTAGTTTATATGCAAATACACATATAGTTTAAAACTGCATAATTACTAGAATTAAAAGTTATACCTAATTGTTAAGGATGCATAATTATTATTATAGGTGCCTAGTAATGTAAGATGTCCAGAAACAAGCTGAAGTTAGTTAAATAATAGTCTGCTTTAAAGAATATAACAATAAATGTCAATGTTTTAGTAAAAATATAATTACTACTTCTATAGACTTTAACTACTTTCAATTTTTTTTTTAAGAAACCGGTATTCTGAATAGTATACCGAAAAATCATATTAATGTTGTAAGCTACGTTCTACTGAAAACGCTAAAGGTAGTAGAAAATATTGTTACCCCTTTTTAGGATGACTTACTAGTTACTAGAGCCCAAGGCTATAATATAAACACATGTACATTTAGTTTATCTTGACGTGTTGACATTGACGATTGATTTTGATTGCACTTACAAGTGTTTTATCATGATTTCACTAGGAATCTAACCAAAAAAACGAAATAAAATCATTTTTTATTACATATTTATATGTATGTATATTTCCTATGCTTAAAAAAGTGTATAAAATATTAATTAGTCGGGATGATATTTATCTGTAAATTATATTTTATACATTAAGTATGCAGATAAAATATTATACGCGCGTGTCATATTCAAATGTATAATAAATATATGAGGAATCAATTACACGCATTTAATATTCGATATAACCTATTAAGTTCCTATCTAGTAAAAATGAGGTCTGTGAAAAATGAAATTATGCATAAGTAAATAATGACGAATTAAATATTTATGTGTATATTTTTATGGGTATTAAAACGTGAATTTGGCCCTTAGGGGATAATAAAAAAAAGTGCATACATAAATAAGAATAAACACAGCACATTTTAGCAAACCAAAGCATCTACATTTTTTATTCTAAGTAATTTTTATCAAGCCGGTTTTATACGTCGTGTATATAGAGAGCATTTAGACCTTCATTCTAATTCTTTTCCTAGAAAATAAAATAGATACTACATTGTATTGATTTATTATATAATATATTTTATATTGACGAATACCTATAACATGAATTAAATTTGACTTAATTTTGGGTTGTTGCAGCCCTTCTATAGTAAAACAGATTACAAAGTAAACAGATATGTTTTACTGTACTTTTTGGTTCGATATAATATATTGTTGCTTTCGAGTGTCGCCTCCGAGTTGATTTTATTTTATTTAACGGTACCCAAGTATACTATATTATACAATGTATACAGTATATGGCGTGTATAAATATACATATATATTATAAATAATATATAAAATACTATATTATATTCGGGGAACGAACGATTTCAACAAATATGCCGACAATATAATACAATGTGCGTGTGAATGTTTTTATAACACGTTTGTTGTAAATATTTTAAAGCAGAGAAATGTCGCGCGAAGCACAAAAAAAAAACGAATTTCTATTCCCGGTAAAGAAATAATGTGATGTTTTGGGTAGAAACGCATTGAGTCGCGCCCTTTCGCATTTATATATAATATAATAAATCCGCAAGACGCAGAACATAATAATATTATAATATACAATAGCACAAAATCGTATATGGCGCTTACACACACATACACATACACACACACACACACACACACACACACACACACACACACACACACACACACACACACACTCACATTCCGGTTACGTGTGGTCCGCACTGTCAACGCGCCGAATTGAACCATACACACACACGTCATCGTATTATTCGCGTTATTATTTCACTGGCCAATGGTACATTTTTCTTCTCCGAGTCACTCTATGCGTAAACCGATCGCTTGGTGCACACGTATCCCATACAAAATCGTATTAGCACTTTTTTCAACGAATAGTTACTTTCTAGTCCATCACAAAAATTAGGATTCTCTTTGTATTTCGACTTGGGTGTGTTCATTTTCGTACGCTCTAGAACTGACGCCACCGTTTTAATGATACCTAAATTAACATAATATTGTAATAGAATAAAAATAAATGTCGTCAAACTTCTAATAACGACGAAATGTATTTTTCCCTTCTTCTAATAACATCAATAATATCATGTTTGTGATTACTGATTACCTAATATTAGGAATATAATAATATATTTTGTGCACTAAACCGTCGCGCAAAAAGCATACTCCGGCGCAGTTACACTCGACCACTGTCGTCGTGTCGCGATGTGCCCATGTCCTACACACCAATAGTCTGCTGTTGTAATGTCATAAAATATTATGTTTGTATACGCATGCCTGTATTTTAATAAGTATAGATTTACAAGAGGTTACAAGTACCAACTATATGTATATATATTACTCATCATATTAAAATATTATAATATGTACATACCGACGTCTCGACTACATTATTATAATGACGTTCTTCCGTACGATTATTTCGTCGACCTCATTCTGCCTAAACAAAAACGCCCGATCGAGGCCAATGTCGGTCTAAGCTGTATAGATTTTAAAAGGGAATTGTTCCGGACCGTACTGCACCACAGTATATTATTGTATAGCGTAAGCATTATACAGCCATTATTATTTGGACTTGGTAGCAAAACATTCGTAATATATTATAACTAATGTGTTATTATATTATACTGCAGCAACTGCACCCATCATTATTTAAAAATATTTCTGTAACGACATATGTTTTTCTTTCGTCCGATATCCAGACATCCTTATTACAGTACGTATTTTTTTTTTTTTTTGCGGTTTTTGTGGGCACCTATATCGTGATAATCAGTATTCCAGTCGCCACCCAATGCGATTTCTCTCTACGGGTAACATAATTTTGATTTATTTTTAGATTTTACTTTTTCCTGTTCCATAGATGCAGTAAAGAACTCGTGTTTGGATTTATACAAAATAAGGCGGGTTTCAATGAACCTGGTGGTCGGTGCTTGGTCTGTTATTTTTTGTTTAATTTTAAGTCAAAATAATTAGTGTGGTGAAATTCAAAGCATTTCTTAATTATTTATAGCCTATAACATAAACTTACTGAAAATTACAATACAATTTTGTTTCATTATTATAATTATTGTAATATTATTAAAACATTTCTTTGAAAAACATTGGATGTTATTGTAGGAACCTACCATGGAATGAAAATAGGTTTGCTCAGGTAACAATTTCCTGGAATGTACGGACTAGAGACGCGATAAGCATTCAATAAATTGATATAGATAACAACTAATTTAAACTCAGCTAAATGGTATAAATGCATTATGTTATTATAATCATGAACAATACTTACAATATTTAAAATATTTGACAATAATGCTTCGTGTTCGCAATTTTTTGGTCGGTGCAAACCATAGACATATTAACAGGACTGTGCTTCCTTTAGTTACCCTCTTGCCTACTGGCTACTATATTATAATAGTGTCCGCGACATAAACTATTCTAATTGGAGGAAAAAATAGTTGTACTTTTCTTCCATGTGTTTTAAAAATATGTGTATAAAAAAAAATTATTAGGCACAGGGACACCTGCATTAGTATATTCTAATAACGTTGGTGCATTTTCTCTGAAGAGCAGTCCATTTGTTAATAGTTCTATAATTGCGAACCATAAAAGATATTTTGCAGTTCTTGGCATAACAAGCAAAACGCCAACCACGGTATTTTTGGTTCACCAGCTATAGGTACGTAACCTTGGTAACTTCCAATTGCTTATGCTGGGTATTATATACACTATTTTTTATACAAAACCACCAAAGATTTTGTACCACTATGGTTGAGTATGGTCCATGTAACTATTTCTACCACGGTCTACATAAAATTAATCCGACATTTTGCAAGTTTGTCTAATTTTCTCACGAATGCTCTAACCGCGACGCGTCAACGGCTTTGTTTTTCTAGTGTCAATCGGAGGGGAAAATTGTTCGCATCTTACAATATTTCTATGATCCATCATTGTAACAAATCTGACAAAATATTCAGGAAGAAGTAAGTGTTCATTAGTTCTATTTTTATTAATATTCAATTTTATTTAATACACTCAAATTGAATAACAAAAAATGTAACTTATAGGGTATATTATAATAATACATTGGTTTTTTAAAAATCTAATCGATTTATTGGTTTGTTTTTCGTACAATAAGTAAATTCGTTAAAATAATTCAGTAGCATTGATCATAAATAGCACTAAAAATTAAAACAAATAATTAGAGGAACCTCGGGGTTTTTTTTAGTATTAATATATTATTATCAATGCCACTGTAAAATAAGATATCTCGCAGTTTAAACACTACTTAAAGTAAAGTAAATATACTATTATAATTTATAAATGTAATTGTATTGTGAATAACTGCATTGAACCGATTAATATTAATTACAGTTTTTATATTTTATTTTCTGTATTGCACTTTTTGACGTTATCTGTTTTTTTTTTTTGTAATTTCCATATGAAAAATACAATTAGGATTAGAATGAATAAAATTAACATAAGTTAAAAATCCCATGTATACTAACATATTTTTATTTATATACAATATACGATGATTGATGATGACTATAGTGTTAAGAATGATAAAGGATGTTTATAACTTTTACATATTTTATGTCTTAGTCGTGCACATTGCAGACCAAATTATAAATCTGTTTAGTATGACATATAAGCAGTAATTTCAAGTTTTACATTTTTACCTAATAAATGAATTTGTTTTATAATTTTAGATCTTAAAGAATATTCTTCAAATTTTCTTTTTCTTTGGTTTCATCGAGTTTAGGTACATTTAATATTATGCTTTTACCATGAACAATACCCATAAGTTAAATACCTATTAATGTTGGTGTAGCAGTCACAATAGGTCACTCGCGAGCTTGCAGAACGTGTTCTATTAATGATTTATCAAAAATATTTTAACCAATATTTTAATGCATTTTATAATGTCATATTCTATTGTTTCGGGGCATATTGCATGCTTTTTTAAGAATTCTTAAGGTCATAAATATCTGAAATCTATTGACGAATAATGACAATATGATATATCTGCATCGATTACATTCAATATTGCATGATATTTACATGTAGTGTGTACATTATATAAGAAGTAGCTTTTTATTAAAAAAAAATATCGTACACAATAAAGTTACATATCCATACATGCTAGGGCAATTGCAAAAATGTATCGTAAACGATGTATCATGATGGACGTCAGTGACGATTTGGTGAGAACAGCAATACAGCTTCAGTTATACCAATAATTTGTCAAAACTGCATTATGCATTTTGTAAACATGATATTCCTCAAAGATAAAATCTCACACCTACGGGGAATAAAGCTGTTAACGATGTGGAAGTGTCAAAATGTACAAGATAAATGGGAAGTTAATGAAATGTGGTTGACATTACGACGAAAAAAGAAATAAAAACTAACACATTTAAAAAAAAAAAACTTCCGATATCAATTTGAGAATTGCGAATCGATTATTGTATAAGGTATAACTATATATAGTATTGTCACGAGTTTCCACGTTATCGGCGAGTCTCATATAAACAACCACTGCGGACTATATGGTATTAAAGTTTACGTACGCACTCGATAAACAAATAATACATATATATGAATTATATTTAATCACATATACAGTGATCCTGCGCCCTGTGCGCGGGTATTGTACGTCGTTATCGTCAACACGCATACAAACGCTTTTATATTTATAGGGTCGACCGGTGGCTCTCTTCAAATAGTATATATATACTTACTCGCACTCTATACACGCACTCCACATAAGATCCCTCTTGAACAAATCCACTTATACGTTCATACCTATTAACTTTGTACGTTCCTATATAATATATTATATACACACACCAAAACGACGACCATCGTCTTGCGCACGTGCAGACTCCAGTATTTGTATCTACAGAAAGCATACAAAAAATGTTACGCCTTCTACGAGTGTTGGACTGTTTATTTTATTATTTTTTTAAATTTGTATTTGCTATTTTGATCCTCACTACTGTGGAACGAGCGATCGATGCTACTATAATAATGAAGTACATATTCAGTCAGCAATACTAGGGCTATTTTAATTTTTGATTCCGATTTCTGTTTTTGGTTGTTAAATGTCAAATAAATAAAGTTTCTAGTTGAGTTTGAATATCGTCATTTTTTTACTAACAAAATTTGATTTTAAAGCGTGAATAAGATAATAAACAGTAGAGAAAATAAATGAAAAAATATAAAAGTATCGTAGAAGTTATGCCACCACAGTTTTCACCGAAATTTATACAAATTACCAAATACTTGTTTTTAAACATCAAACAACTACAACTATAATATTATAAAATAATATTAAGAACCTATTAAAAAAAGTATCTTTATAGTGGTTTACGATTCTATAAAAAAAATTTTATCTATGTACCTAAATTACAAAAAAATATTTAAAAAGTTCGAATTTATGATAATTGAAAAAATCTGTTACATGCACACTGGTATAGGTATGCATCAGCACCCTGACAAAATTAAATAAGGGTTCCACTTTCGAGATTTTCAGAAGGTTCCGGTTCTATCACCGGTATTTTTTCTTTACAGTTCCTTGGGCTTGCCCTGGACTATACACTCATCCACGAGTCGTGAACGTTTTTTTTACACGATGTCGGCGAATGGAAAAACGAATAATAACATTATATTATTCTCTCGCGTCTGAGATTAATGTAATCATATTATTATAATATAATAATGGATATTCTGTATAGACACGTATATTATACACCCATATAATACATATACATATATATATATAATATGTATATGCTGTCCGATTGTTTCTGCTCTCTCCCTCACTCTCCCACCCTCTGTCCAAGCGTATATCTTTAGTTCTGTAGTGTTTTCTGTTTTGTTGTTGTTGTCAAAAGTCTATCGGGCCGCCCGCCGGGAGACTTGGTGTGCGCGCACACATCTCATACACGACTGAGAGGAGTATGTGGAAGAGGGAAAAAACAACACAAACTCGATGGGTGCCCGGAGCAACCGGTGGACGGACGAGAGGGGAAACAGCGCGTGTACACAGAAGAGGCTGCATAGTGGAGGTGGAGAAGAATTACCGACGAGACCCCCCTTCGTAGGACCTCAGCGGCGCACGTCACACGTGGTGTGAGAACGGCAATATATATATATATATTGTATATATACAGTATACACTATATACACTTGTATAAAAAATATAAAGTATATGTATATACTTTATTATACAATAATAATATATAATATAATGCGCTATCGTCTGTATGTACGGTCACCCACCGTGTTAAGTTGAACGATGACGATGACGACGAAGACTGTAGCACAAGGGGCGCATCGCACTCAAAATCGGGCGCGCGGGAGCCCTCCCGTCGAGGCGGCCTCGAGGCCTCGGGCAAAGAAAGGTCCCGCGCACAAAGGGTTAACGCCGGCGCGTAAATCAAAAAAAAAAAATTTTGTCAGCGCCTCCATATACGATGTATCGTGTACAGTGCGTGTCCAGAGTACTGTGGACAAGGCGGATAAGAGGAGAGTACACAAATTGGATTTTAAAACGACCGGTTTTTTTTTACATATATATATATATTATATACCGACTCTCCGCGCGTCTATCGTGTACACGGGCCATTAACGCTGTTATTAGGTACAAATTATCGACGTTCACGACAATGGGACACATGTTCAACTGCAACTATATACACGTATATTTTCGTAATGACCCACACGCGCAAACGCCCTAAATATTATTTTCGAAACGCGCTCGCGCATACATACACACACAGCGGGACGCAATGAGCGCGAAAAGAACTCGTCCAATATAATGTACATACATCATGTTTCCGCAAAAGTTTACAACAATAATAATAAATAAATAATAACAGATGTGCAGTCGCAGTCATCGATAAACTCTGTGCATAATATAAAAAAGAAAACAAAATACAAAATAATATATAATATATAATATAGTAATATTTTTTTGCAAACATAATAACATTATGTTCAACATAAACACTTTTCGAGAAAATAAAATATGTTTTCCTTTAAAATAATCGCTTTGTACTTATCATAGTAGATTCAGTTTTTTTTTACTGCAAATAAATACCTAATATATGGTATTGTATCCCTCGGAATACGGTTCTTAATATAATTTCAAATGTTATTTCGAATGCCGCCTCGTTAATGTGTGCCTATTTATCATAATATATGATACATGGTTTTTTTTACCATTATTTGGTTGGAACAATAATAATATCACGATAAAATATGGTTCTTATATTATTTTCTCGAGTTGCATCGTGAAAAACGCGGCTGTACGATACATTCGCCGATAAATATATTGGAAGAGGTCATCAGCGGCGGCGCTGAGACTACGCAGGTTGAAAACCATTATATTTCATCAGTTGCGCGTTAATAGTGTTTGGCAAAAAGGATTCTGTATTGTAGTACCGATAAAACGATTTGTTACCGAATCCTACAAAGAAAGCCTATTGTTGTGCAGTTGCATCAATAATCAGTGGCGAAGGACCCATGTCGAGCTCTAGAGCTCCCACAAAGGTCTTTTTATAATATGCTGGCACACAAACACCGGCGGCATTAAGATTGTTTGACCGCCGCCAATGTATTGAGTA